ACTCTTGACCTCAAATGATCCATCCACCTTGGCCTCCCAAAGTGTTGGGATTACAGGTGTGAGCCACCACGCCCAGCCCCAGTTCATTTTACTTTTTTTTTTTTTTCTTTTGAGATGGAGTCTCACTCTGTTGCCCAGGCTGGAGTGCAGTGGCATGATTTCAGCTCACTGCAACCTCTGCCTCCCAAGTCAAAACACTCTTCCTGCCTCAGACCCCCCCCAGTAGCTGGGATTACAGGCACATGCCACCACGCCCAACGAATTTTTATATTTTTAGTAGAGATGGGATTTTACCGTGTTGGCCAGGCTGGTCTTGAACTCCTGACCTCAGGTAATCCACCCACCTTGGCCTCCCAAAGTGCTGGGATTACAGGCATGAGCCACCGCACCTGGCCCCCAGTTCATTTTAAAACCATGAAACCACCCACGCTGCAGAGCAGCCTTCTTTAATGTAAGCAATATGGGAACATCTTCAATTACACGTGCAGCCATTGTCGAGATTCTTCGTAGGAAGAATTAAAGGAATGGGGAAGAAGGACTTGGGTCCCAGCAGGTCTTTTGTGGCATCCAGTCAGAAGTTAGGAAACACCGTCTAGGGCAGTGGCTGCCCTCAGCTCACACACATGACTGGATAGAAGTGAGAAGACTCCCAGAATCTGCCTTTAAGTTTCCATCAGTGTCCTCGGGTCAGACTGTAGGAGTGCTGTGCTTCTAACCTTACAGTTCTCCTCAAGTGGGATATGCCTATGGACATCCTAATTCACAGACATTGTCAGCATCGCATTATTCCAGGGCTGTTTTGAGGTCATCTTCAGCTCCATTTCCCATCTCAAACCTACACTTTGGATACTTACTGGGAAACATGTTTAGAAATTCACATGTAAATTTCTCTGTGGCAACCCCAGGTGGCTCTGAGGTGAGAGGGCTGAAGAAGCAGAACCTGTGTCATGGGACACGTGCCCCTTGACCACACAGCATGCACTCTCCTGCAGTTACCAGCCCTGTACCAACCACCACAGTCAGAATAATCTCAAAACTGCTAGTGGAGTCACAGAGACACACTCTGCCATGTCTTAGCTGTAGGACACTCAAAATGCTTACCTCCCCTAACTTGCTTTCCCCATTTTCTGGCACGTTCTATCCTGAGATATTCCGCAGCATATGCACGGATGGTGCTCCGGCCTTCTCACGTCAGTGCATGTCACGTGCATCCTGCTCCAGGACTGGTTTCCTAGCCTCCCACTAAGAGTAGCACCTGGCTGTTTTTGGAAAAGGACGCACGCTGCAGAGCTCCAGCTCTATTGTGTATGGGAGGCCCTGGCGTCAGGGTTCACAAGCCATGGAACTACCTTGCTTCACATCATATGGCAAGGTGAACTCAACTCCCAATAAACTGCTTGCTGGAGCCACCGAATTCTCCCTTTTCTGAATTGCACAGGCATGATAGGTGTTGGGTCTGTCCTTTGTTGGGGTCAGTCCACCCTTTTCTTAGAGAGCAAGTCAGTGTGTTCTAGAAGGGAGGTGGCAGCATTGAGGGAAACCAGGTCACCATCTACCCTCGTAACAACTTACAGTCTCCCTGGGTCCCAGAAGTGATCTTTCTGTCGCTTGGAGACCTGTAGTCGGAACTCTCTAGGCCTCTGGCCTCCACCCTCCTCCAACAGCAGGGATGGGTCAGGTGGCAGCATCCAACACCACGGTGAAGATACTAGGGTCCAGAGGCTGACTGGAGCAAGGTTTGCTGGCAGCTGAGGCCTCAGTGGAAATGATGGCTACCGTGGAGATGCAGTGGAGGACCCGGTGGCTGAACCAGGAGATACACACCTTTGCTTCTCTCACCAGGAACATTTATGGTAGTTTGAGGGGTTGGAACATTATTACTCAACCCATTTCAGGTCCTTATTTTCGCATTCTTGGGCTGCCATGTTCTGCTTTTGTAGAGACATGATTATTGTACTGTGGGAGGTCGGAAAGTTTGAGATTCCTTCACTGTCAGAATGGGCTCAAGGAGCCATCTTTTGTGATAGGTGTTGGGGAGCTAAGGGGTATCTCTGCTACATGGAATGGGAGTGAGAACATTCACTTTTTGAAGGACAAGTATATGTGGGTCTGTGATGACGTTTGTGTAAAATCCATTTGTGTATGTGTCTGTGTGAGTCCTAATATTCAGTAAATATTTTCCTCTGTGTAACACTCTCTAATAGGTATAGTTAACAAAGCTGTGCTAATATCTCTGTCCCCTTGATCCTGACATTCTGGAAGACAAGAAAGCAAGCGAGAATATATATGGCACTGTGGTGGTTATTCCTGAGGAGCCAGAGAAACCTGGAGAAGAGATCAGAACACCTGGGGTCCTTCTGTCTGGGAGCATCTTTTAGTATCTGGGCTGTTACATCTGTGGGTTTGTGAGTTTGTGTTTGTCCACCTGTATGTACAGTGACAAAGTGTGTGGTTTTTGTATATTTGTCTAGAGGGCTGTGTGTATATATATATTTTCAAATATGGAATGCTTTTTTTTTTTTCTTTTTTGAGATGGAATCTGTTGCCAGGCTGGAGTGCAGTGGCGTGATCTCGGCTCACTGCAACCTCCACTTCTCGGGTTGAAGCGATTCTCCTGCCTCAGCCTCCCGAGTAGCTGGGACTATAAGTGTGTGCCACCACATCCAGCTAAATTTTTTTGTATTTTTAGTAGAGATGGGGTTTCACCATATTGGCCAGGATGGTCTCAATGTCCTGAACTTGTGATCCACCCGCCTCGGTCTCCCAAAGTGCTGGGATTACAGGTGTGAGCCACTGCACCTGGCTGGGTTTTTTTTGGAGGGAGGGGGTTGTTTGTTGGTTAGTTTTTTGAGACGGAGTCTCACTCTGTCACCAAGCTGGACTGCAGTGGCATGATCTCAGCTCACTGCAATCTCCGCCTCCCAGGTTCAAGCAATTCTCCTGTTTCAGCCTCCTGAGTAGCTGGGATTACAGGTGTGTGCCACCACACTCAGCTAGTTTTTTTATTTTTAGTAGAGATGAGGTTTCACCATGTTGGCCAGGATGGTCTCAATCTCCTGACCTTGTGATCCGCCCACCTCGGCCTCCCAAAATGCTGGGATTACAGGCTTGAGCCACCAGGCCCGGCTGGAATGCTTGTATTTTCTTGCCTGATTTCCCTGGGAACACCCCCTCTTAACATTGAATGGAGCTGGTGAGAGCAAACATCCTTGTTTCTGATGTTAGATATTAAAAATATGGTTTTTCACCATCAAAGATTTTGTTGAGTTTTTCATATATGCTTTGTAGCAAGCTGAGTAAATTCTATTCCTAGCTTATTGTGGGTTTTTAATCATAAATGGGTATTATGTCAGATGCTTTTTTGCACCGATCAAGACTGTCATTTTTCCATCATTTCCTAATGTGGTGTATTCCACTGATCAGTTTCCATATGATGAACCATCCTTACATTCCAGGGATAAATCTCACTTGGTTATATTGCATAATGCTTTGAATATATTGCTTTATATGCTTCGCTGACATTTATTTCAAGATTTTTGCATCAGTACTCATAAGGGACAGGAATGCCATCTTCCTTGCTCTCACACCATGTCACATTTGCTTGAGAGCCCTGCATTGTTCTCCCTGAGACCTCATTTTTGTAATAAGCCTTTTCATATTCTTGGTGTGTATGTGCACCACATAGCCATCAGTGTCAACATCCAAAGCATACCTTTTCAGGCAACCATAACAGCTGGCACTGTCAGCAGGATGTCTAGATGTTGGTCACCACGCAATGTTTCAGCCTTCCCTTTCTCTCAGGTGCTAACCTGCTCTGCTATCTGGTGGCCAGCATGCTCCTTTGAGCTGCTGCTAATTGCTGCTCTGTGTTCCATTGTTGAGGCCGAACAAACTTCTGTTCCAGATTTAGCCAACCAAAGATGGCAGTTTCTATGTCTTTTTTTTTTTTTTTTTTTTGAGACGGAGTCTTGCTCTGTTGCCCAGGGCTGGAGTGCAGTGGCGTGATCTCAGCTCACTGCAACCTCTGCCTCCTGGGTTCAAGTGATTCTCCTGCCTCAGCTTCCAAAGTAGCTGGGATTACAGGTGCCCACCACCACGCCCGGCTAATTTTTATATTTTTAGTAGAGACAGTGTTTCACCATGTTGGCCAGGCTGATCTTGAACTCCTGACCTCAGGTGATCCACCCGCCTCAGCCTCCCAAAGTGCTGGGATTACAGGCTTGAGCCACTGCGCTTGGCCCAGTTTCTATGTCTTTGGCATTTAGGAGCAGGAGTATCGGATTTGGGTCCTCCTTAAAATGGTCTGGGGCTAGGAGTTTTCAGTTTGCCTTTCTATGTAGAATGAAGCTGGGACTGATGCTAGGTGTTGGCCTTGTCCTGTAGGTCTGGTGGTGGGGGCTGGTGGTGAGATTTTATCTTGTAATCTCACCACTTTGGGAGGCCAAGGCGAACAGATCACCTCAGGTGAGGAGTTTGAGACCAGCCTGGCCATTATGGTGAAACCCCATCTCTACTAAAAATACAAAAATTAGCCAGGCATAGTGGTGGACGCCTGTAATTCCAGCTACTGGGGAGGCTGAGGCAGTAGAATCCCTTGAACCTGAGAGGTGGAGGTTGCAGTGAGCTGAGATGGCTCCACTGCACTCCAGCCTGAGTGACAGAGTAAGACTTGGTCTCAAAAAAAAAAAAGTGACAAAGAAGGCTGGGCGTGGTGGCTCACACCTGTAATCCCAGCTAGTTAGGAGGCTGAGGCAGAAGTATCACTTGAACCTGGGAAGTGAAGCTTGCAGTGAGCTAAGATTGCTCCACTGCACTTCAGCCTGGGCAGCAGAGCGAGACTCCATCTCAAAAAAAAAAAAAAAAAAAGAGGTTCTGAGCAGAGGAAAGACTGATCTGATTTAGGTTTTGCGTAATTATCCTCCAACTACGGGCTGCAGGGTGTGGGTCGCTGGGTGGGTGGGTTAGGTGGACAAAACTGGATCCTAGTGCCTCACACCCCTTTAAAATGGATAAAAAGACGTAGTTCTCGACCAGGGACGTCCTCGGTGATGCTCTGCTGGTCCCACAACCTGAGCGCTTTTTCCAGACGCTTTGACTTTGCACTTCTGCTCCCACGCGGCCAACGCCTGAACTGCAGCAACGTCCTGCAGACCCAGTTTCCCTTTTTGGTACCAGGCATATGCAGGGCGTGGACAGATCCTACAATGGAACCAGTCAGAGACTGCCCTGGAGAAACTCATATGCCGGGATTTGGATGTTTGTAGGATAACATCATGAGCAGCAGCTTTGCAGGAAATTGCAAACCACACGTGTTCCAGGGCGATTTTCAGAGGAGGGATCTTTGGGCAGTGTCTCCAAGGAACAGTAAGAATATTTCAGAAAGACACAATGAAAAAACTGAAAGTGAAAACTGACGTTGATACCCCGACCCCAACCCCTCTTAACTGCTACTTCCGACCTGGGTCATGGAGTTACCATTCAAGCCCTATACCCAATACTCATCCTGAACTACTTAACTACTTTTTTATATATGTATTTATTTATTATTATTATTTTTGTTTTCAGACGGAGCCTCACTCTATCACCTAGGCTGGAGTGCAGTGGCGTGATCTCGGCTCACTGCAACCTCCACCTCCCGGGTTCACGTGATTCTCCTGCCTCAGCCTCCTAGGCAGCAGTGATTATAGGCGCCTGCCACCATGCCTGGATAATTTTTTTTTTTCTTTTTTTGAGACAGAGTTTTGCTGTTGTTGCCCAGGCTGGAGTACATTAGCATAATCTCGGCTCACTGCAACCTCCACCTCCCGGGTTGAAACAATTCTCCTGCTGCGGCCTCCCAAGTAGCTGGGATTACAGATACGCACCACCACGCCTGGCTAATTTTTGTATTTTTAGTAGAGACAGAGTTTCATCATGTCAGCCAGCCTGGGCTCGAACTCCTGACCTCGTGATCTGCCCGCTTTGGCCTCCCAAAGTGCTGGGATTACTACAGGCATGAGCCACAGCGCCCAGCCTACTTATTTCTTCTCACTCCCATCATCCCGATTGCCACCACCCAGGTCTAGACACTCACCTGGGTACCTGTCAAAGTGTCCTCCTGGTCTCCCAAACTTGAATTCCTAGTCATTCACCCCAGCACCAAAGGGACATTTTTCTGTCTCTCCCCTGCTCACACACCTCCCATCGCTCCCTAGTGCTCTCAAGTGCAAGTCCAAGCTCCTCAGCCTGGCACCTGAAGTCTTGAAGACCCAGTTCTGCCTGTCCCACTGTATCATTAGCATGAATAACTAGAAAGACATTAATAAAAAGAATAGCACTACTGCTATTTATTGGGTGCCTACCTGGTGCTTAGACATGTGTCTTGCAGTTTCAAGGTGCATTCACAACAGCTTTATTATCTTCGTTTTACAGAAGGGGCTATTGAGGTTCAGAGAACTCAAGGGACTTGTCCAAGGGCCCCAGCCTAGGTGTGAACTCAATTCTTTCCAACTCCAAAGCTCAAGCCTAAACCCAACACTCTGTCCCCTGCATGACAAACCCCTAGTGGGATAAGTTTAACTTTCTTGCCATTTCTGTCTTTAACTCTTCTTGAGCCACTATAACAAAATACCATACGATTACAAAATAACAAAATATAATACGATAACAAAATATGATTCTTGACACCACAAAGTCCAAAGTCAAAATGACAGTAGATTCTGTTCTTGGTGAGGGCTTTCTTCCTGGCTCAAAGATGGCTACTTTCTGGTTGTGTCCTCAAGTTGGGGAGAGGGCATGGGGGTGACAGAAAGAGAGGTCTCTGGTGTCTTTTCATTATTATTATTTAGTAGTAGTAGTAGTAGTATTTGAGATGGAGTCTCACCCTGTCGCTCAGGATAAAGTGCAGTGGCACGATCTTGGCTCACTGCAACCTCTGCCTCCTGGGTTCAAGTGATTCTCCTGCCTCAGCTTCCAAAGTAGCTGGGATTACAGGTGCCCACCACCACGCCCGGCTAATTTTTGTATTTTTAGTAGAGATGGAGTTTCACCATTTTGGCCAGACTGGTCTCGAACTCCTGATCTCAAGTGATTCTCCCACCTGTAATCCAAGCACTTTGGGAGACCAAAGCCCTCATGGATGAGGTGGTGAAAGCCACTTCTAGGGGCTGCATCACCATCATAGGTGGTGGAGACACTGCCACTTGCTGTGCAAAATGGAACACGGAGGATAAAGTCAGCCATGTGAGCACTGTGGGTGGTGCCAGTTTAGAGCTCCTACAAGGTAAAGTCCATCCTGGGGATGGACGCTCTCGGCAATATTTAGTACTTTCCTGCCTTTTAGTTCCCGTGCACAGCCCCTAAGTCAACTTAGCATTTTCTGCATCCCCACTTGGCGTTAGCTAAAAGCTTCCATGTCAAGATTCAGCTAGTGGTCGAGAGATGCAGTGCCACGAGCCCTTAAACAGTGACACGGCATCTCAGCTCATCTTTACTGCACCCGGGATTTGCCTACATTCTTCAAGATCCCGTTTGAATTTCTTAGTGACTAAACCACTGTGCATTCTAGAGCGCATATATTTATATTTTGCCTGTTAAAAAAAGTGAGCCGTGTTAGCTTAATTCTCTTTTGATGTAGCTTATTCTGATTAGCTTTGTCACCGTTTTACTACTTAGCATGGAAACAAGATGAAATTCCAGGCCGGGCACAGTGGCTCACGCCTGTAATCCCCCACTTTGGGAGGCTGAGGTGGGCGGATCGCGAGGTCAGGAGTTCAAAACCAGCCTGGCCAACATGGTGAAACCCCAGTCTCTACTAAAAATACAAAAATTAGCCAGGTGTGGTGGCACGAGCCAGTAGGCCCAGCTACTCAGGAGGCTGAGGCGGGAGAATCACTTGAATCAGGGAGGCAGAGGTTGCAGTGAGCCAAGACCACACCATTGCACTCCAGCCTGGGTGACATAGTGAGATTCCATCTCAAAGTAAACAAACAAACCCCCCAAACCCCAAAAACCCCCACAGGACCATTCCACACAATCTGCTTAGCCCGAGTGACAGCCTCAGCATACTTCTTGCTGCTTTCAGGACCACAGTCCAAAGCCCATCCTGCCAGCAGATATGCCAGAAGCCACAGTGGCTTGGCCAGTCTTGGCATTCTCATCAAACTTGCCAGCAGCGACAAAGTCAACAGGCAAGATAATCTTCACACCATTCTTCTCAGCTTTAGACATTAGGTCTTTGACAATCTTGGCTCCCTCTTCATCAAACAGAGAAGTGCCAATCTCCATGTTGTTGACCACCTTAAGGAAGGTAAATGCCATTCCACCACCAATAATCATCTCACTGACTTTGTCCAGCATATTCTTGATCAGCTGGATCTTGTCTGCAACTTTAGCTCTGCCCAGGATGGCCAGGAAGTGTCGCTCTGGGCTCTCCAAGTCCTTGGCAAAGTAGTTCAGGTCCTTCTTCATCAAAAAAAACAAAACAAAAACAAAAAAACAAAAATACCACCAGCCTTCTGTGGCAGATTGACTTCTGCCATGGAGCTGTGGGCTCTGTGAGCAGTGCCAAAAGCATCACTGACATAGACATCCCCTAACTTGGGAAGTGAAGCTTGGAAAGCTGCTAATTTGGCTGGCTCGGCTTTAGCCTTGTTTCCAGAAGCATCTTTTCCTTTCCCTCTTCCTCCACCTGAAAGCGGAGGTTCTCCTGCAGGATGACAGACCCAGCAGCTGGGTTGGTACAGGTTTTCTCCACTTCTGGGCCTACACAGTCCTTCAAGAACAGAACATCTTTGCCCAGCAGAGATTTGAGTTCTACAGCAACTGGCTCTAAGGAGTACTTGTCAGGCATAGGGACACCATCAGGCCGGCCTAGGTGTCTCATAAGAACTACTGACTTGGATCCATTGTCCAAGCAGAATTTGATGCTTGGGGCAGCAGCCTTAATCCTCTGGTTGTTTGTTATCTGGTTGTTCTTCATAGGAACATTGAAGTCGACTCTTACAATGACTGGCTTCCCTTTCACGTCCAGCTTGTCCAGGGTCAGCTTGTTAGAAAGTGACATTTTGGAAATACAGCTGGGGAGAGAACTCGGTGATTCAGTGAGGGGAGCCGGGTACCGACGTGCTCGGGAGGCTTGCAGAATCCAGTGGTGTACTTTTTAACAAAAATTTATTTTGAGGTCATTGCAGATTCACATGTAGGAAATAACACAGCCATTTTCTCTCAGTGGTAACATGTTGCATAGCTGTAGTACAATGTCCCAATCAGGAAATTTCATCCCGCCCACCTCCCTCAACCGAATGAACAAGTACAGAGAGTACACTGTTCACAGAGGTGGTTCAACAATTCTACTTCCAAACAGTATTTCCTACCAGTTTTTTTCTTTTTTCTTTTCTTTTTTGAGACAGAGTTACTCTGTCACCTAGGTTGGAGTGCAGTGGCACGATCTCAGCTCACTGCAGTCTCTGCCTCCCGGGTTCAAGCGATTCTCATGCCTCAGCCTCCTGAGTAGCTGGGATTACAGGCACTCACCACCAAGTCCAGCTAATTTTTGTGTTTTTAGTAGAGACGGGGTGGGGTTTTGCCATGCTGGCCAGGCTGTTCTGGAACTCCTGACCTCAAATGATTTACCAGCCTCAGCCTCCCACAGTGTTGGGATTACAGGCGTGAGCCACTGTGCCCAGCCCGAACAGTTATTAAAAGTTATTTACAAAAAGTATTATTCGCCAGGCGCAGTGGCTCATGACTGTAATCCAAGCCTAGGTGGGTGGATTGCCTGAGGTCAGGAGTTCAAGACCAGCCTGGGCAACATGGTAAAACCCTGTCTCTACTAAAAATACAAAAATTAGCTGGCCATGGTGGTGCGCCCCTGTAATCCCAGCTACTCAGGAGGCTGAGGCAGGAGAATCACTTGAACCCAGGAAGCAGAGGCTGCAGTGAACTGATATCGTGCCACTGCACTGCACTCCAGCCTGGGCGACAGAGTGAGACTCTATCTCGAACAAACAAAAAAAAAAGCAAAAAACAAAAACAAAACAAAACAAACAAACAAACAGTGTTATTCTACTACTACTTTTAAATACATGAAGCACTTCCAAATATCTAGAAAGACTAGATATTTCATATAACTTGTCCACCATGTACACAGCACTGTTCAATAAAATTCCACACATGTAACCATGGTTATCATCTAAGGTATCTCCCAAATATGACCATTTTGGGCCAGGTGCAGTGGCTCACACCTGTAATCCCAGCACTTTGGGAGGCCGAGGCGGGTGGATCACGAGGTCAGGAGATGGAGACCATCCTGGCTAACATGGTGAAACCCTGTCTCTAGTAAAAATACAAAGAAATTAGCTGGGCGTGGTGGTGGGCACCTGTAGTCCCAGCTACTTGGGAGGCTGAGGCAGGAGAATGGCGTGAACCTGGGAGGTGGAGCTTGCAGTGAGCCGAGATTGCGCCACTGCACTCCAGCCTGGGTGACAGAGCGAGATTCCGTCTCAAAAAAAATTTTTTAAAAAAATGACCACTTTGGCCTTGAACAATTCCCTCCTTACTTCTTTCTCTCTGCTTTCAATCCAGTGGACCAGTACAGGCATGTGTAATGCTTAGAGATGGTTGAACAAATTCCTATCCAAAAGTCATTCACAGAAGACAAGTTTCCTATGAATTTCAACACAAAGTGTACAAAATATGCTAAATTTACTAAGTACTTTATCATACACTGGCAACCTCTTTAACATCTAGCAATTAGATGTTGCAAAATTAGGATGCATTTGCCCATTATATATGCTATATATAGAGCAAAACAAAGTGCACAAAACATATAGAAAAATAGTGTCTGAAAATGTCCAAGTATGAACACACTGATCTTTTGCGATTTCTTCCCTCCCACCTCCTCTAAACTATCCAACAAGTATAGACAATACTACACTGCTCACGAAGGTGGTTAAACAATTCAATTTCCAAAAGGCAGTGTTTCCTATAAATTTTAACAAAAAGATATTTACAAAGTGATATTTCACTACCTCTACATTTAATATACATGGGACACTTCCAAACATCTAGGTAGACTAGATATTTGAAGTAAGGAGTTAATTTGTCCACTGTGTAACAGCAGTCTTGAATAAACTGCAAACATGTAACAATAGTTATAATTTGAAAGTGTTCGAAATATGAACATTCTGGCCTAGAACCCTTTCTGTTTCCATCAACCCAGTGGGCAAAAATGCTTAAATTTTCAGAAGACAATATTTTCTAGGAATTTTATTATTTATTTATTTATTTATTTATTTTTGAGATGGAGTTTCGTTCTTGTTGCCCAGGATGGAGTGCAATGGCACATGTAGAGTTAGTAAACTAATATATTTTGTACCTTTTGTTTCAAAATTCCTAGGAAAGGCCAGGCGCCTTGGCTCGCGCCTGTAATCCCAGCATTTTGGGAGGCTGAGGCCAGCGGATCACCTGAGGTCTGGAGTTTGAGACCAACCTGGCAAACGTGGTAAAACCCCATTTCTACAAAAATACAAAAAAAATTAGCAGGGCATGGTGGTGGGTACCTGTAATTCCAGCTGCCCGGGAGGCTGAGGCAGGAGAATCGCTTGAACCCACAAGGTGGAGGTTTCAGTGAGCTGAAATCCCGTCATTGCACTCCAGCCTGAGTGACAGAGTGAGAAGCTGTTTAAAAACAAAATAAAACAAAAACCCAGGCGTGGTTGCTCACGCCTGTAAACCCAGCACTTTGGGAGGCCAAGGCGGGTGGATCACGAGGTCAGGGGGTCGAGACTAGCCTGACCAACATGGTGTTGTATTTTTAGTATGTATTTTTAGTCTCTACTAAAAATACAAAAATTAGCCGGTCGTGGTGGTGTGCGCCTGCAGTACCAGCTACTCGGGAGGCCGAGGTAGGAGAATTGCTTGAACCTGGGAGGTGGAGGTTGCAGTGAGCCAAGATTGCTGAGACAGTAGAGGAGTTCTTGAACCCTTGGGGAAGCCGGGTCCAAGTGTACTGAGTAGTGACACCTGACCCCGGATCTTCCCACTGAAAGGCAAACAGCTTCTGGTTCTCAGGAGCTATTCTGATGCTAAAGAAAGCATCTTTTAAGTCCAGACAGGTAGCGGCAGCAGCACTAACAATGTGTAAGGGTTAGGAACTGTTGGGTACAGAGTCACTGTAGTTTGGTTGACCAAGCGCAAGTCCTGTACTGGTCGGTAGACCTTGGTCCCTGGCTTAGGGACAGGCAGGAGCGGGGTGTTCCATGGAGCCTCGCAAGGAACTATAATTCCATAGGCTTTCAAGCGCCTGAGATGAACCTGGATTCCCAGCTTCTCTGGGAACCCGATACTGCTTTTGTCTAATTGGTTGGGCCCCAGGCTTAACTTCTATGAATACAGGGGCTTGGTTGACCGCCAGTCCCAGAGGGCTATCCTCTGCGCATACTCGGGGCCATCACTTAGCTAGAGCTGGTTTTATCTCTTGAGCTGGCTCAGTTAGAAAAAGTCTCCATTATTCTTCCTGGGGGACCGTAAGGGCGATGATAGCTCCTGTTCCCGGTAACTTTCGCTGTAAAGAGCCCTGTTTTGTAAAGGAGATGGTGGCTCTCAGTTTGCTAAGTAAGTCTCTTCCCAGCAAGGGCAAGGGACAGCCAGGCATGTACAAGAACTGGTGAACTATCTCAGGTCCCACCACCGAGCAGGTCCGTGATAGACAGAAAGCCTGCTTAGTGGAAACTCCTGTTGCTCCGATTATATCAATGGTTTTCTTGGATAAGGGGGCAACCGGCGTGGCCACTACTGAATGTTCAGCACCAGTATCGACCAAAAACTTAATGTCCTTGCCCCCAGTTGTAATCCTGACTGTGAGCTCCTTGGGGGCACTTGAGCCCGGTCCCCTTTAGTTCAACAGCCCTTCAGCCAGATTGAACAAAGCTCCCTTGTCTTTATCTGAGGTCTTTTGTTCCAAACCATCTTGCTTTTCCTTCAGTTGGGGACACTTATCTTTCCAATGTCCTATTTCCTTACAATAGGCGCACTGGTTACATCGCAAGCGTGGGCGATTAGACTGGGTGTTCTTCCTTGAACCCCCCTTTCCCTCTCCTTTCGGGAGAATTCCCTTAATGGCCGCAGCCAGTAAGTCGGCGTTTTGCCTAGTCTAGCGTTCACCTTCCTTACGGCTTTCTCTGCGACTTGTTGCATCTCTATTCATAACACTTTATTGGCTATTTCCAGTAACTGTGAGGTATTCATACCTGCAAACCCAGCCTGTTTCTGCAGTTTTCTCCTGATATCTCCCGTGCTTTGGCTAACTAAGGCCATGTTAATCATGCGCTGATTTTCAGGGCTATCTGGATCAAAAGGAGTGTATATACGGTAAGTCTCACACAGTCTTTCATAGAATTGCACTGGACTCACCTCTTTTCCTTGGATGACCTCAGAGACTTTATTTACATTTGTAGCCTTTTGAACCCCTTTCTTTAGACCTTCTATTAATGCCTCACGGTACTGTCTTAGCCTCTCCATGTCTGGTCCCTTGTTCGGGTCCCATTGGGGGTCTGTTCCCGGCAGTTGAACTCTTTTTTTTTTGAGACAGAGTCTCGCTGTGTCTGCCAGGCTGGAGTGCAGTGGCACAATCTCGGCTCACTGCAAGCTCCACCTCCCAGATTCACACCATTCTCCTGCCTCAGCCTCCCGAGTAGCTGGGACTACAGGTGCCCGCCACCACGCCCAGCTAATTTTTTGTATTTTTAGTAGAGACAGGGTTTCACCATGTTAGCCAGGATGGTCTCGATCTCCTGACCTCGTGATCCACCTGCCTCGGCCTCCCAAAGTGCTGGGATTACAGGCGTGAGCCACCGCGCCCGGCCTTCTCTTGGTTTCTTTACAGATGATCGCTGTCATAAAAACTCCAGTTTTTCCTACGCATTTAATAATTTCATTTCTTTGTCGGTTTTAATTTTCTTGCCTGAAAGAAGCAAGCCCTCCTCCCTCCTGTTACACTGAGGTCCGGCCTGGCCTGGGCGGGCCTCCTACTCTGAGGCCAGCGGATGGCTCCACTGGACGCCGAGTCTGTCATTCCCTGTGCACACTTGTGACTCTGTGTCCGGGAGGAAAAAGCAGGAAGGGAACCCTGAGTGCAGAAACACGCCAGCGTCAGTTCTGCAGAGTCTGGAACACTTTCTGCTTAAACGCAAACATTCTCCCCGGCACAGAAGGTTACAGAGGGAGGAAGCCCCGCCTACGAAGGGCAGTGGCCAAGACCCTGTCAATCTGTCTTTACTCAGCCACATATCGCATTGCTTCTCCTGTCACTCAGTGCCAAGGGGGCAGGACTTGGATCATCACCCAATCAGGGACTCTGGGGCGGGGACCTGCAAACCATCCAATCAGGAACTCTGCAAGGGGGGACGGTGGGCAACGTTCAACAACTCCGCGGGGTCTTCCTGTTTCGCGTCCGCTGCGTTTGGGTTCCGGTCTCCGCTTCTCCAGTGGCCCGGGTGGCTCCACCGCAGCGTCTGGCGTGCTGGGACCTGCACAGGCCGGAGAGAGCCGTAGGCAGGACCCCGGGACACCCTGGAAGCCAGGAAATGGTGCGTGTGCGGGGCCGGGCGTCTGGAGACTGGGGGAGGGGCTTGTGGGAACCGGCCGGAACTGGCTGTGGAAGGTCCCTGGCCTCCCTGCAGCGACTCCAGGGTCTGGGACTCGAGTTCCCGGGCGCAGCTCGGCCCTCTGTCCCC